GTGTGTTTCAGCAATTAACCACATATGTTATATAAGCTAGGGTTAAGTTCCTTCTTTCTCATTATAATTGAATGTCATCCTAAAAACACACTCTGAGTTAAGTGTTATCTCCATTTGACAAACAACTAAGTCTCAGAATCGTCACACAGCCATGTCTGAAAATGTCACCCTCGTTTCTTAAAAGCCCAAACTACCCCCGGCGTCCAAAAGGAACAGATATATTGATAAACTCATCCTAATACCTTTGGATCTTAATAAGAAACTAAAGAACAAGTTAATACATGAAGGCATGGTTTCTAAAATACACAGAGAGACATATAATTACCCTGAGCTTAAGAAGTCAGACATTCTAACCCTCTTGAAGGTGCATGTACCCCTTTTCACCCCTGTGATGCTCCACTCCAGAGACTAGTCACCCAGGACAGGGAAGGAGCCTTCTTCTTGGCTACAAAAGAGGCTCTGGACTATTATAAAGTAATTCATTTTGTTTTCAGTTCTACTTTGTCTGTATTTACTTTAAATAATCTACTGGTCGGTTTTCTTTAGTTATAAACTTTTCATACTTAATCTTTTGTGGCTTTCTCTTCTGATTAAATATAATCCGTGTTTAAGTGTGTAGGATATAATTCATTTTTTGCTGCTACTTACTATCCAACTTTATGAATTTCATTTATTTGTCCACCCCCTTATTTGTGTACATTTGTGATTGCCTTGTTTTTCAGTACAAACCAGTGAGCATTCTTATCCACGTCTTGGTACTGTATGCTACAATTTTTCTTAGGGATATATCCTAAAGTTAAAATCAGCAGGTTGATGGAACCACTTGGAAGGGAGAAGTGAGGGTATAATATGACCTTATTTCAGTGTATAATACGGCTTTATTTCATTGTGTAATGCATGAAATTCTCAAGATAAAGAAAAATGCTTAAAACTCAGCAGATTGAAGGTTTTATAATGTCTGCAAATAATAAGAATTCTTTCTTTCAAAAAATACTTTTTAAAAGTATCGTTCTCGTTTTTATCATTGTCCTGTTCATGTGTCCATTGTCTTGTACTGTTTTTTGTCTTACACAGTTTGGTTACTACATTTTGTTAGTTCTACATGTTCTAAATAAACTTGCAAAGCTTGTATTACAGATTCGAGAAGATGCTCCACAAGCATTCTATCATTTGACATAGAATTTTCTCTTTTCTTTTATTTGCTTATTTATTATTTTTATTTGTGGGTGTGTGGAGGTCAGGGGACAATTGTCAGGGCCAGTGATCTCCTTCTACCATGCATTCTAAAGAATGAGCAAAGGGCATAAGACTTGTAGAGTTAGTGCCTTTGCCCCCTGAGCCTATAATTCTCAGTGTGTGTGTGTGTGTGTGTGTGTGTGTGTGTGTGTATGCATGCATGTATATAGAAAGGCTTAAAAAGTATCCATTCCTTTATTTTATCACCTCAACAAAAATTAAATTTATTTTGATATATTTATTTATTTGCATATACATTTTTATATATGCATTATATGTATCATATACATAATAATTTTTTAAATTCATTTTGATGTTTATTGATTAATGTTTTGGTTTTCTGAGATTATCTTGCCCTATCCCAGATCTATCTACCTCCAGCCTCAGCCTCCCCAGTGCTGGGAATATATACACATATGTGTCAAGCCCAGTTTTCTCATAAAATAACCAAAAACATTTAGAAAAATTGTTATTAAAAACAACAACAAAAGAAGTAAAATATCAATAGTTCCATCACACAAGTTAGTGAATTCAGACACATTTGCTTTGAATCACCATTGCAATTCTAAATGTGCTAGTTCCAGTTTCAAGGATTTTGCTTTCACGTAAGCTTATTTTAACCACCATAAACTCTTTGATGTTACAGTCATTTAGCTTTTATTCAACAATAAGCACATTTTCATTCAAATGCACTCATACTTTGCAGGCATTGATGTAACCTAAGGGTGAGATATCTATCTATGTATTATCTATCTATCTATCTTTCTTTCTATCCTTCCCTCTTGTTCAGTTATTATAAACCTTCTGCATCTTTTGATGAATCCATTGTGCCTTACATGATTATGTAATATATTTATTTTATTTTATCATATAAAAACATTCAATAATTTTGTTATAAAGTATGATTTCTGATCATTCTATAAAATTTTTCTCAAAGTACATTTTCAGAAACCGTGTGAAACTCTGAGAGTACTGGCAGATTGTTTCTAGAGATTTTGTTCTGTCCCTGTGCCTGATGCATTCTGTAATCATACTGTCCCCTACCTCCCTACCTCTGCCCTTCTCTGCTGCACATGCCCAGACATACATACCAGCCTGCAAGCAAGCAAGTTCATTCACTTGCGTGCGCGCACACACACACACACACACACACACACACACACACACACTACTCTAAGGTTGAATCATTAAATGGAACCAACAACATCCTGAAAATTTCACTAAAACTACCTAGGAAAACTTTGCAAAATTACCCACCATAGAAATTATTGCTCCCACGGAGTTGTTGAGAGAGAGAGAGAGAGAGAGAGAGAGAGAGAGAGAGAGAGAGA